TCCTCTTTTTTGTCCCCAGAAAATATGAAATGATGCTAAGAAAATCATGAGAATTGTCAGCTAGCTAGGATTTCATCATTTATGTCATAAAACAGTAATTGAACTGGTTCCCTGGGCTCCTGTGATTTATGAATGTAAACATCACTTGTTTGTTCCCCTTTCAGCTACTTGAATGTAAAACCATTCAAGGAAGCTTACATTCTGAAGTCCGTGATTTTGTCAGATCGAGTTGGGAAAGAAAGTTGAGGCCTCATTAACACAGGCCTGTACTACTGTTCTGGGCATTAAGATAAAATGCTACCAAAGCTGTGAGCCAATGCACACAGAAGCAGATAATCTAATAATAACCACAAAGAGTAAAAATCACCCAAAGCATTTTTGTACTTTATTAAAATGTTTTATGAAATTTTTCTCTAGGTCTAACCCTAATGTTGTCCTTTTTTTTGTTTTAAATTGTTGCTGCCGTTTAAGCCATGATTGTCTGAATCAGCAACTGCAACTCCTCAGCTACCAGCAGTGGTTAGGCCGCAAGAGCCATAGCCTGAGGGAATTCTGTTCCCTCAAGCACCGACTCTCTCAAAGTTATGAAGGGAACTTAACTAAATCTCCGTCCCTCTAAAGAACTCAAGATTCAAAGGTTAAGGTGGAATTCTGCTCCTCAGATAGGCTGAATAATGTGAGGAGGCCCAGAACAGTTTGACCACACAGCTGCCATGGCAGGCTTAGAGTCCCAGACACAGCTTCTGTGACAGGCTTACTGGCAGGCAACACCAGGATCCAGGAGAAGCCTGAACTGATCCCACCCAGGGAGGGCCTGCATCTAAGGGGAAATATCTGACATTTCAAACATTCCCTATAACCCTAGACAAATGTCAGCCAATCAGGGTCCTGAACCCTGGAAATCCCCTCACCCCAACCTCTGCTATAATAATAATAATAATAATAATAATAATAATAATAATAATAATAATAAACACCCTCCCTGGACTCAGGGCTCTCTGCTCTCACGGATGCTGATGCTTTGGATAGAGAGTCCAAGCTCCGAGCGTGAAATAAAGGATCTTTGCTTTTACATATGGGATTTGGTCTCTGTGGTGCTCTTTAGGGGGTCCCCGCAATCTGGGCATAACATAGCAAGTAGCTCACTTCCTCTCCTTGCTCGCATCATCCAAAAAGCCCTGTGCTTCTCCTCGCCCCTCCTTATAAACCCTTTCTCACCTGGCTCCTCCTTACCACTTCCTGTCAGCTAGTTGCTGACTCAGCTTTCTGACTGCAGGTGAACTTTATTTAATTAAACACATCTTTGCATCATTAAACAAATGTTCCAGAGCGTAAACAAAAGTAACACACCTTAAAATATTCTATAACACATTAGACAAGCATTTCAAATAAATCAAGCATACTTACATATTCTATGATTGATTAAGCTTGGTTGATAGAGTCATTATTGGAACCATTTTTAACTCCCTAGAATGGATGTTTGCTATGAAGAATGACACATACAGCTGCCGTAAGGTTGGATAAGGAGCTTCCCTGTCTGCTCCCAGGGAAATGGGGGCTATGTACAGGCTTGTAGGGCTTACTGGGTAGAGAGCAGTGTTCTGCTTCTTGCACTAGCTGCTATTTAAAGGTTCTTGGTGTCACAGCTACCTGAGCCATTGCTCATTCAAGGGAAGGCAAGATGGACATTACGCGAACTTCATCTTGAAACTTCAACTATTTGCTTAAAGTATTTAAGAAGTATTTAATAGAGAAGTATTTATCAATTATAAATATAACTATTATCAGAAGTATTTATATTATAAAGTGTTTAATAGGAAGCATGCAGCAATAAAATATTTTATATGAGCAAAGATGTGATCAGTAAATAGCAATTGAAATATTTTTATTTAAGAAAAATGGCAAAAAAAAGTTAGTCTTTTTAGTGTTGTAATTTTACTTAATTGAAAAAAAACATCCATCTAAAATTCCTTTGAACACAAACATCCATACGGGGCTGTGTGTCTTTCTGTCAAGCATTCAGTGATGACTTGGGGTAGTGAGCTTGGAAGGCTCAGGCAAACTCTAAGACAGTTATGATGCACAACCAGCCTGGGGCCTCTGAGACGCTGAGCCAGGACATTTCAGGTATGCCTCTGGTTACAGATAGCATTATTTTCTAAAACCTAATGTAAGTGTGGATTAAAAAGAAAGTTAAATGTATCCTTTAAATTTTTGTATTAAATTAAGGATGGTACATCTCATGACAGTGAGAGCCCCAGGCCCTTTTCAGTAAATTTCAAACTTTGTTTTCTTTTGTAATTAATACCCATTATTATGGTCATACCCAATCAAACACAAGTCCATTAAACAGGTCGGTATTTCAATAAATTCAATAATTCAATAAATTAAAAATAAGAATCATACCAGAAAGCTGAAACCCAGAGGAAAAACCCTAAGCCCAGTCAGGAATGTCCCCAGCTGCCCTGAATTTGCAGTTGGTGTCATCAGGGGCTTTCTCTTGGCAGGAAAATTCCACGGACTCCCACACTCTTCGGAACATTTCAGTGCGAGAGAGCTGAAGGCTGGACTCTGCTGGAGCAGTTCAGACCTGTGCTTCACAGTGCCCTGGAGGTTTGCTTTGAATAGAGCTGTGAGGTTGTCAAGGGCAGAAACTGAGAATCTCATTTTTTCCTAAAGGAACAGATTTTAATCGCCACAAGAAGTGCGGTGTCTCATTGAGTAAGGATGTCTCAACACTGAAAACCTATCGGAGCATACTTATTGTAAACAACTGTAGCTTCAAAATCATTCTGAAGAGGCCATACAGTTCTGAGGGGGTTCCAGAATGAAACGGGAAGTGGGACACGTTAGGAGGAGCCCTGCAGCCTGCGAGAAGGGTCTGCAGAGAAAACCCTTCAGAGCGTCACTGGGAGCTCTGTACCTACTGTGCTGAGAGGAAGTGATGGCTGACTGCTCCGTCCTAAACACAACACTTTTGCCATCTCCCTCCAAGGCTTGGAGAACACTACAAAGAGAAAGCAGCAAGAAAGGCTGCGAAATGCTGTCTTCTGAACAGGACAAACATCGCAGTCATGCACTCCCAACAACTGCAGATGTCTGCACCAGGTCCGCCCAAGAATGGGACCAGCTGGAGAGATGGCTCAGCGGTTAAGAATACAGACTGCCCTTTCAAAGGACCCAGGTTCAGTTCCCAGCATCCACATGTCAGCTTACAACTGTCTGTAGCTCCAAAATCTGACACCCTCACACGGACATTAATGTAGGCAAGACACCAATGTACATAAAATGATACCCGAGGGGCCCTCACTGCTGAACTATTTAGGAAAATGGGGAGTCCTTGACTTCAATTATGTGCCCATTCATGACACCACCAGGCTCCAATGGATTTCAATGGTCCCACAGAAGGCCCTGGTTCAACTAAATGGGTCACAAAACAAACCCAGATGAATTCGGGGGGCGGGGGTACTTGTACTTAGGTAACTATGTAAGGTGAAGATGTGTCAATTTCCTTATAGTAGGAATTTCATTAGGCATAAATTTATTAATGAATCATTTTTACATAAAATTGATAGAACTAAACTGGAAAAAAAAAACAGGCAAGACTATTTGAATTTATTAAACTAATCTGCAGATGTTTTTAAAACTCCCCAAGGAAAATTATCAGTTTTCTTCATCTGGAAGTGTTTGGGTCTCAGGAACAGCAGCATGAAGTTGAGGTCCAAAGCAGTGACTGGTTGTTGGCCACCCACTCCTGCCCGTACTGAACAAGGAATTATTCTACCCACTCTGGGATTTCTGCTTTCCTTCTGCTCTGTGTTGGTTCTTCCCCTAGTCCAACAACGCATTCTGCGGGAGAGACTCATGCAGCCACTCTGCACGCTCCCTCTAGTGGTCACAATGAAAATCACAGGAACGTTAAATTAACCGACGCCAGAATGTGCCCGGAGGAGGGTCAGTAGCCTATGAAGGCTTGAGTTATAATCTTCCAAAAACAGTTAAACTTTTGATGTTTATATTTATGGAAACTCTGAAAGATTAAGCTATAATCATACAACTTACAATAATACAAACTGTCACCTAGAGATTCCCATAAACAATTAAAGATCAAATTGATTACATCAACTGTGAGAATAGTAAAGTAGGAAATGCCATATGTAATGAAAAACGGAGAAATAAAAACTGTTTGGGACTAACATTTTAAAGGAGGCTCATTTATCAACACGTTTTCCAGAATTATACAGTCTACAAATCTCACGAACGGGTTCCCTGAGCATTGTGCTTTCATGGCGAGCCAGGAGCTTATACCCTCAATTCCAATGGCATGCCATCTATCTGCTCTATCTCTCCTCGATAGAGCTTCTTCCAGACTTCCAGTTCTCTTTTAACCAAGAGCTCTTGGGTGTTCTCTTCAGAGATGGCAGCTTCGATATCTTTCATTTCAAGTTCCATCTGAGTTAGGACTGCGGCGCTCGGATTCTCTCCAGCACGCACTAAGTCTTCTTTTGCTGCTGCTTCTCCCTAAGACAAATCAAAGGGGTGTGTTATTTGAAATCCGAATCCAATGACCCATTCTGAGTTGAATACTCTAGTTTTGCATCAGTAATTCAGAACAATTGAAGTGCATGTGTGGTGATATTGTGTTCCCCAGAATATTGTGCCCTCTAATAAACTTATCTGGGGTCAGAGAACAGAACAGCCACTAGATACAGAGTCCAGGTGGTGGTGATGCACACCATTAATCCCAGCATTCGGGAGGTAGAGCCAGGCAGATCTCTGTGAGTTCAAAGCCACACTGGAAACAGCCAGGCATGGTGACGCACGCCTTTAATCCCAGGAAGTGATGGCAGAAAGCAGAAAGGTATATAAGGCATGAGGACCAGAAACCAGAAGCTTTTGGCATGGTTAAGCTTTTAGGCTTTTGAGCAACAGTTCAGCTGGGATTCATTCTGGATGAGGACACAGAGGCTTCCAGTCTGAGGAAACAGGATCAGCTGAGGAACTGGCGAGGTGAGGTGGCTGTGGCTTGTTCTACTTCTCTGATCTTCCAGCATTGACCCCAATACCTGGCTCTGGGTTTGATTTTATTAATAAGAACTTTTAAGATTCATGCTATATGCATGAGAAAGTATGCTGTAGTTTTGAATATGTGAAGTCAGCAACAACTATTAAGAGGGTTTGTACTAAAGGGGCTGGAGAGATGGCTCAGGGGTTAAGAGCACCTTCTGCTGTTCTGGAGGACCAAGTTTGTTTCTCAGTGCTTGGTTGGCAACTTGCAACCTCCTGTAACTCTGATTCCAGAGGATACAACACCTTCTTCTGGCCTCAGAGGGTACCATCATTTCCATGCACATACCCACATTCAGTCACACACATATTATTTTAAAATAAAATAAATTAAACTTATAAAGTTATAAACTATTTAGATTCAGCCTCTTGCTGTGGGGTTTGGAAGTATGTCCTGGCACATGCTAGGCAAACCCTCTCCCATTCTACATCTTCAAATCTGATTTACACTTGTGTAAGTATTTGTATAATATATACAAAAATTAATAAGAAGGAGTTTGAGATTTTTAATAGTGAACAGTGTAATTTAAGAAGAAGGTATGGCCGGGCGTAGTGGTGCAAGCCTTTAATCCCAGCACTTGGGAGGCAGAGGCAGGCGGATCTCTGTGAGTTCGAGGCCAGCCTGGGCTACCAAGTGAGTTCCAGGAAAGGCACAAAGCTACACAGAGAAACCCTGTCTCGAAAAACCAAGAAGAAGAAGGAGGAGGAGGAGGAGGAGGAGGAGGAGGAGAAGGTATGTCAATAAAAGAACTTCTGGAGGTATTACCATCCCTGATTTCAAGCTCTACTACAGAGCTATAGTAATAAAAACCACATGGTATTGGCATAAAAACAGACAGACAGATCAATGGCATTGAATAGAAGACCCTGACATAAATCCACACACCTATGGACATCTGATTTTCCACAAAGAAGCCGAAAATATACAATGGAAAGAAGAAAGCATCTTCAACAAATGATGCTGGCATAACTGGATGTCAGCATGTAGAAGACTGCAAATAGATCCATACCTATCATACTGCACAAAACTCAAGTCCAAGTGGATCAAAGACATCAACATAAATCCAGATACACTGAACCTAATAGAAGAGAAAGTGGGGAATAGTCTTGACCACATAGGCACAGGAGACAACTTCCTGAACAAAACACCAGTAGCACAGACAATAAGACTGACAGTTAATAAATGGGACCTCATGAAATTGAAAAGCTTCTGTAAGGCAAAGAACATCATCAATAGGACAAAACAGCACCTACAGAATGGGAAAAGATCTTTACCAACCCCACATCCAACAGTGCTGATCTCCAAAATATATAAAGAACTCACGAAACTAGATATCAACAAACCAAATAATCCAATTAAAAATGGGGTTCAGATCTAAACAGAGAATTCTCGACATAAGAATCTCAAAGGGCCGAGAAACATTTAAGATGTCCAACATTATTAGCCATCAAGGAAATGCAAATCAAAAAAAAAAATAGAAAAGTGCTTCTTTGGATTTGAGGACCTTGAGATTCCATCTTACACCTGTCAGGATGGCTAAGATAAGAAATACAAGTGACAGCTCATGCTGGAGAGGATTTGGAGCAAGGAAAACACTCCTCCATTGCTGGTGGGAGTGCGAATTTCTACAACTACTTTGGAAGCCAGTGTGGCAGTATCTCAGAAAACTGGGAATCAAGCTACCACAAGACCCACCTGTACCGACCTTGGGCATATACCCAAGGATGCTCAATCATACCACAAGAACACTTGCTCAACTATGTTCATTGCTGCTCTATTCACAATAGCCAGAAACTGAAAACAACCTACATGTCCCTCAAGCGAAGAATGGACAAAGAAAATATGGTACATTTACACAATGGAGTATTACTCAGCTGTCAAAAACAAGGATACCGGGGCTGGAGAGATGGCTCAGCGGTTAAGAGCACTGGCTGCTCTTCCAGAGGTCCTGAGTTCAATTCCCAGCAACCACATGCTGCCTCACGACCATCTGTAATAAGAGCTGGTGCCCTCTTCTGGCTTGCAGGCATACATGCAAGCAGAACACTGTATACATAATAATAAATGAATAAATTAAAAAAAAACAAGGATACAAAGAAATTTGAAGGCTAATGCATGGAACTAGAAAACATCATCCTGAATGAGGTAATCCAGACCCAGAAAGATAAACATGATATGTACTCATTCCTAAGTGGATATTAGCTATAAAATAAAGAATAACCATGCTACAATCCACAGCCCCAGAGAGGCTAGGTAACAAGTAGGGTTCATGTGGGGACACCCAGATCTCCTTGGAAAGGGGAAATAGATTTCATGAGGGGACTGAGGGCAGGTGGGAAAGGGAACATGAGCGATCAGGTTGGGGGGATGAGGGGAGAGAGTACTGAAAGAGACTACTGGAAATGGGGGAGCACTTCAGGGTCAGGTAAAAACCTGACACAAGGGAATCTCCCAGGAATCTACAAGGAAGACCCCAGCTTAGACTCCTAGCAATAGCAGACACATAGCCTGAACTGGCCATCCCCCTGTGACCAGATGAGTGCCTAGCCCAATTGTCTTCAGAGAGGCTTCATCCAGCAACTGATGGAAACAGATGCAGACCCACAGCCAAACACTAGGTGAATCCTGCAGAAGAGGAAGAAAAAGGATTGTAAGAGCCAGAGAGGTCAAGAACACCACAAGAAAACTCACAGAATCAACTAACCTGGGTTCACTGGGGCCCACAGAGACTGAACCAATAACCAAGGAGCCTGTATGGGACTGACCTAGGCACTCTACATGTATGTTACATTTGTGTAGCTTGGTCCTCTTGTGGGACGCCTCTCAGTGGGAACAGGGGTGTCTCCAACTCTTTTACAGGCTTTTGGGACCCTATTCCTCATACTGGATCTCCTTGCCCAGCCTTAATATATGGGGAGGTGTTTAGTCTTACTGCAACTTGATAAGCCATGTTTTGTTGATACTCATGGGAGACCTGGCCTTTCCTAAACAAAAATGCAGAAGGAGTGGATTGGGGAGTGGGAACAGAGGGGAGTAGGAAGAGGGGTTGGGAGGGAAGGAGGGAGGAGAAATTATGGATGGGATGTAAAATAAATAAATAAATTTATTTAATAATCCAAAGAAGAGCAAGGTATGAGTGTGGCAGTCCCAAGGCCTAGAAAAAATAGAACTGATAAGGACTTTAAGGCCAGTGGGAAAATGATAATGAAGTCTGGCAGAGCCAGGACTCAGCCAAGGGCAGCCAGGAGTGGAACTGGTGTGAGAAGTAAGAAGAGATGAAACATAAAGGTACCAGCAGACACTGGTTCAAATACTTGCTTCCTGTCCGTAACCTCCACCCAAGCCAAACCACCACATAATTCGAAAATAAGTGTCTCCAGAAATGACATCAAACCCAGGCTGCTGCTGAGAGTACATGGTGTGAAGACCCACCCATGACCACGACTATGACTACATGCTAAGACTTCGGAAACATGTAAACCGGTACTGTAGTTCATAGATAAACCATAAGGTTACAAAAGTCTTAGAGGCATTGTGCGGGTACAGTGTCCCAGGCATTCCAAGGTGAGAAGCTTTAACTCAGAGAGATTTGCAAAAGTGGCTTTATAGTGTCATGAATCCCAATAAAAGTCAAGAAGACTCAAGCTCTTGAAAAAAATGAAGTAACAATGCCACACCAACTCCAGTGTCGTCCGTGTGACATGAACAATTATGTCAATAACAGTGGACGGGAGATACATGTCCCACAGGACTAAGCTCCCTGGAGGTCCCTGGCAGAGTGCCCGTGTTATGCCTCCTTCTCGAAGAAGACATACTTCACAGATCATGAGCTCCCTGGGCTATGGGTTCTGCATAACTGCTTTTCTGATAATGTTCTAATTAATCTATGAAGCAAGCCAAAATTAATGAATGCTTGGCTTGT